CAGCCCTTAGCTCTCCTTGGTTCACTGTTCCCTGCCAGAGGGTACAGAGCAGAACAGGGTCCCATAGTGGAGAACTGTTCTTCTGGGATCCAGCCTTCACATATGCTTCTCACGCGCTACACACGCCACATCCGACTTATTCCCTGCTGTTGTTACTGCTTCGGGCTGCTCTGGCCCTTCTTGATGACTAGTGATATTAAAACTGCTTTTGCATTACATTGTTCACTAGCCACTTAGGGCCTCCACAGCCAGCATGCTTTGGCTGTTTGCAGCTGCCTTTCTTTGTGCAGCCACAGCTGCAGCGGTGGGAGTGTATCAATAGAATGGCTTTGAAGACAGACAGCCTTAAGGATGAATCCTGATTTTTTCATTTACTGGTTATTTGGTCTTGGGAAAGTTATTTATCTCCTTGAACTGAGTGTCCTCATTTGTACCATGGGACAATTATACCTTTTCTGCAGTATAAATGTGGATCAGGTATAATAATGTATGTAAGTTTCCTTGCCAGTACAAGGTAGGCACTCAGTAAATGTTTACTATCTAGCATTAAGGTTATTCTTAAGTGGAAGCAGGAGAGCCTGGGGAGCAAATGGTTTCTCTTTTTTCATTGAGGAGAGCAAGCTTTCTTCCCATTATCACCTCACCCTGGGTGTGGGGGTAATGAGAATGTAGACAATCTCATTTTGACCACCACCTATGATTTCCACTACTCAGTCTCTCAGCCTCTAATGCTAATAAGCAGCTTTGACTCATGGACCACACCTGATCTGCTTGGGTGAACCCCATCCTCCTCCGTGCTCACCTTTCAGGATGAAAACTATGAAAGATTTTTGTGTTGCTGTTGCTTCTTGAATATGCTTATAGAAGCATTGCCAGTTTTCTCATTAATATTATTCTGTTCTGTCAAGAATGCTCATTCAACACATAGTTACTGGGTGTCTGTTGGGAAATCAGGCACTGTGCCAGATGCTGATGAGTCAGTGGTAAAGAAAACAAATCAGTTCTTTATCGTCTTGGAGCTGACACTGTAGTAGAAGAGATGGGCATTCATCAAATATCTCATTAAAAAGGGTAAAATTGCAGTTTAACTAATTGCTGAGAAGAGGAGGTTTGTGGTGTTATGAAAATTGTGAAAAAGGTTTTGACCTGCTCTGAGGAGGTGGTGAGGAAGCCTTCCCTGAGAAAGTGGGGTTAGGGGTCTGAAGGATGAGATGAGTTAATGAGGTGAAAGCCAGAGGATAGAGAATGCTTCAAGTGAAGGAGAAAGAAATCATATGCAGAGGTCCAGTGCAATGTTGGGAGGAAACATGGCCACAGCAAGGTAAGGGGTGGATGGATAGCCAGGGACAGTGTTGGGGGAGATGGTGCTGGAAGGAAGGAAAGGCAGGACCATACCTGGGCCTGTCATGATACCAGTCTTTATCCTGAGAACAGTGGGAAGCCATTAAGGAAGAGTTTTAATCAGAGAGTGACAGGACCTGGAAGGCTAGCAATGGCTTTTGATTGGGGGAAAACACTCACTGAGTGTAGGAAGGCATCGGAGTCCATTGTTCTGCTTCAGATCAGAGGTCTGTAGCTCATCTTGGAGAGGTGGGGCTAGAGAAAAAGAAGAAACCATTTAACTTCTGTTTAAGAAGTAAAAGTTTTAGGTCTTGGTCATGAAATGGATATTGAGAATGAGGGAGAGAAACCTAGTGACTCCTGACATCTACGCAGGTGGTGGTGCCATTCCATAGAGCTGTGTGGAGGAAGGCACATGTGCATGGATGGTGGTGTATATCTGTACAAGTTTGTGATGGTGACATTTCATGCAACTGAGTGTATGTTGGTACCATTCGTTGAGGAAGGAATTCTACAAGAGAAACAATTTGGGGGAGAGGTGGGATGGATGCGTAAGGAAATTGCCAGTGCAGTTATGGCAATATCAGATTTTAGCTGTCTTTGAGATGTTTAAATGAAGATGTCAGAAAGAAGGTTATTGTATGTTTGGACATCATAGAAGACTCTGGGCCTGTGATACAGTTTTTAATTGGGGTTGGAATTACCTAGGGATAGAGTAGATCATTAAACTGAATCCCACAGAACTGCAGCACTTAATGATTAGGTACTGAGAATGCGGAGCACAAAGGAGGAAAAAGTATGTAGCCAGAGATGAAGGAGGAAAACTTTCCTCTTTGAGGATGAAATTATATAGAAGCCAAGGAAGTAGTATGATTCAAGGAGAGAGCACTTACCAGTTTTTAATGCTGCGTATCCAGCAGGTCAAGGACTGAAAATTACAGTTGATTCAGTGACGGTCACGTCGGGTATGCACAGTGGCTTGGAGATCACAGGTTCTCCACGGGCCTGCCCTCATCACTTTGCTACCATGTTAATTACCAAACCATACCATCTTCCCAAGTGGTAGAATAGAAATTAAATTTGAGTAATAGAAAACAGGAAGATGAGGTTGTCATTTTCTTGCACACCAGAAATGCTGTAAGATTTGTCCCTACTCTCTACATGATGTATGCTTATTCATTCAGCAGACTTTGCTGAATACTCTGTATGGAAGTTAGAGTTGCTGCATGTTCTGAATATATTCACAGGACAGTAGAAAGATAGAACTGCAGTACATCTATAACTGTCATCTTGGCCTAATGTAAGCATCCCTAACGCTGGCACAAATGGTTGGACTTTAGAAAGGGAAGACTTAATAGATGATGTGGAATGCATGATCAAAAATAGAAACATGACATGCACAATCAAAAAGTGAACATACTTAAGGGTAAGAAGCCTTCTGGAAATCTGAGATAATTAACACCTTAGGATTTACTTTAGAGTACCACTGATAGCTTATTAGTCTTTCCTAGGTGTCATTTCTGCCTTTATATTTTTGTGAACAAATTTTTCAAGTCTTCTTCAAAGGTTTGCTTACCAGGTTGAGATTTCAAAAACTAAATTTCTCTGAAAATGCTTTTAAAGGTACAGCCTTTATGATTCACGTGTTCCAATAACAAACTAAATTTAACTGGAGTATCTGAAAAGTCAGCACTATTTGGGTGCAAAATAAAGACCGAAAAAGGCACATTTTGTTCTTTTCAACCTGAGTGTATGCTAGTTTTTAAAATACTAATTTTGATAAATATCCTGCTAAATAATTATTCCTTTCTATTTAGGAAATGGCCAGATGTGAATTTAAAAATGATTATTGTTACCTTTTTTTTTTTTGGAAGCTTGTTTATATCCCAGTTGGGAATTAGCATAGTTAACTAGGTTTCCTTAAGTTTAGTTATTTTGAGAGAGAAAGAGAGAGACAGAGAGAGATACCAAGAGAGAGAGTGACAGATACAGAGGGACAGTGTGAGTGGGAGAGAGGCAGAGAGAGGGGGACAGTGTGAGTGGGAGGGGGCAGAGAGAGGGACAGTGTGAGTGGGGGAGGGGCAGAGAGAGGGGGACAGTGTGAGTGGAAGAGGGGGACTCTGAGTGGTAGAGAGACAGAGAGAGGGGGACAGTGTGAGTGGGGGAGGGCCAGAGAGAGGGGGACAGTGTGAGTGG